TATATATATAGTGCAGTCAATTCTGTCCGCCATGAGGCCCATAAACTCCTAGAAGATCCAAGGTCTGAGGTCAAGTTTATACCAGAATAGCAAGGAGTACATTCAAAGAAGCTTAAGAACCACTGCCCTAAAATGTTATCTGTGTTGCTTTTTAATAGGGGGTTCTTGAAAATGCTTTCAATTTCAAAACATGTCAGGAAGGAACAAGGTGGTGGCTAGACCCTGTACTCAGAATGACTTCTCTGCTCCTAGGTTAGGCCTTCACTTTCTCCAGCTCCTAATGGCACTGGGAGTACAGAATATTCAAGATCTCAAATTCAAAATAATAAATTTCTTAATAGGCTCATAAACCCCGCAGACACTGCCACCATCTGGGACACATAAGAGGGTAACAGTGCTTCAGATCCCCACCCCAAAATACACTGGGACTTTTCCCCCCACCTAGTCTCAGTCCTCAGCATTCCTGAAGAATCAGAGTGAAGTAGACAGCCTGATTTGGTGGGATACACTGACTACCCAGAGACCAAGGCACCAGAAATTTGGGAAAGTGCAGGGAAAGAATAAGCAAATTCGTGGGTAGGTGAGGGAAAGGACTCTGGGCTTATCTTTGGAAGTTTCAATTCTGAGGACTAATTTCTGAGTAGCAGGCTGCAACCTCTGAAATGCCAGAAATTCAATAAATACACTATGGAAGACAATGAATGCCATATGTTTCTTATTAAAAATGGATTCCAAGGGACCTTGATCAATAGACTACATAGCAAAAGGGAAAGGAAGTCTGGGCTGCTGTAACAGCTGTTTTACTAACAGCAACTTTGGTCAGATTCCCAGCAATGTAGTCTTTTAAAGAAACAGCCCATTAAGCTCAAAAAGTCACAGATTGAATTTCCACCCACCCAATAATTGCATTCAAAGACCTATTTCTTTCTTAGAGGCAGGTGCTTGAGCCTAAGCTCCGGCTGCAAGAAGTACCCTCTCTGCAGGACAGGTTGGGCAGCATGCCCAGCAAGGGCAGCCTATGTATCATAAAGGGTAGATCCAGTTCCTGCAGAGCCTGAGTCTGGGGAGGGCTAAGGCAGAACAGGAAGCTCGGCCTTGATCAGAGCATGCTGCAACGCTATTGCAAATCCGAAAGTGTTTTAACAAGTCAGCAGGTTATATTTATTGGAATATGCATTTACCTTGAAATTCCTTAAAGTTAAGTGTGTTTCATAGGGTATTACCCACATTCCCATGCAAACTTTCCTTTCTGTATGGCTGGGAGCTATTTGGTTGCCCAGTTGTATGGAGTCCTGATAAACAGAAAATGCTGCAGTTGTCGTGCCCTTAAAATATTCGGAGGAAGGAAGGTGAGAAATAGAGGTGAACATCTTCAGCTGTGTGGCAAGAATGGTTGGGTAGGGAAGACTGGAAAAGGGCATTTCGCAAAACAAAAAACAAAAATAGAGTTTATCTGTGCTAAGGTGGAAAAGAGGCAAGATATTGCAATGAATTTGAGAGTGTCTGTTGAATAGTGGGTATGAGAGAACCCTAAGTGTGATTGCCTAAACTGGAGCATTGAAAACATTGAGTGTTAGATTAAGAGAGAGCGACGAAAGCATTCGAAAAAGCCAGATAGGAGGAGTTTGGACAGCTATTTGGGATCTCCTGAGTGTTTTGAGATCAAATATAATATAGCTCCTTTGCTGGGTCACCTTCATGCTGACCAGGAGGCAGGAAAAACAAACCCAGGAAGGAATGCAGAGATCAGCTGGCAGGAGTTCTGAGCTGGGTGCTGTTGTTCTTCCAGCTCCAAATACAAAAAAAACTCAAGCTACTCTCACAGGGCACTGGGTACACAACAAATGGCCACGATGGTTGCCGGACCCTGGTTTCTTAAATTCTCTCAGAAGGCCTCCCAGGAAGGCCTTTCAGGGCCTTGCTTCTTTGCTGCCAGGTATGCTGAAGGCTTCTCTGTGCTTCTTCTTTAGCATTTACATAGAACTCCAGAGACCTGAGGGGGAGCTTCTCTGGTGACACTTCAGAAATCCAGGCCACATACATACCTCATCTCCATGCATATTTGCCACATATTTGAACTCCGGAATCCCAACTCTGTGTGCCTTTGGAAATCGCCCCACAACAAGAACCCACAGGTTTCTACCTTTACGGGAAAGAAAAAGATAGAAAAATAAGTTATCTTTTTTTTTTTCCTTTCTTATAGACATCTCGCAGTAAGTTATCTTTTAAAATGATAAATGAACTCTGGGAGAATGAGAATAGGAAATAAACGATGCTGTTTTAACATTTCATGGTGACTTAAATTCATGTGATTAACACTCCCGTGATTAAAATGTTCCTCATTCACTGCTAGAATTTAAGGAAACCCTTTCAATTTAGCATAAATATTTAACTTCTTATTTTAGAATGTGATTTTTTTTTAAATTGAAGACTTACTAGGTGATGTAGATCTTATTTTCCCAAAATGTGTATATACTTTGCTCTGAGATCCTAGAGCCTCAGAGAAATGATGTTGCTAATTCACACAATTATCCAAAGTTAAGTTATAGTTGATGGTTGAGTGGGAGAGTCTCCTAACTTGCAGTGCAAGGAAAGTGAAAAAAGCAATGGCAATAAAACATGTAACTCAGGGAGATTGTTTTTAAAGTAAGAAATCCTGAATCTTCTATTTAAATGCTGATATGACATAGGCCCTTTGCAGTGTCCTTCATGTGTCTGAGTCCTGTCAAGTAAACTGGGAACCAGAATCCATCCTAATAATGTAAGGCAAACTTCTAGGTCCCAGCTCTGCCATAGACAGTACGATTTAAGCAAGAAAGGGCAGAGTCTAAAGATCACTGAGGATTTGCTTTGTGCAGGTATTACAGGTGCTAGTCTGGTTCGCGTAATCTCAAGTAATCCCTTGTCATGATCCACTGAAATGGATTATTAACCAAGCTTTACAAATGAGAAAACTGATCTTCAAAAATGTTAAATAAACTGCTTATGATCACACAACCAGTGAGAGGCTGTGATTTGAGCCCCAGAGCCAAGAATTGAACCCTGGTCTATTTAACTTCAATTTTGGTGCTCCTCCTACTAAAAAAACTTGCCTGTCTCTCAAAAGGCTTGGCTCCCTAACCAGTAAAAATGAAGTCCCTTTCACTTCTAATTGGCGCTTTTTTGGGGTAATTTTGTTTTGTTTGTTTTGTTTTGTTTTTTTAATGTTGCCAAAGGCTGGATTCGAACTCCTGGGCTCAAGTGATCCTCTCGCCTCAGCCTGGCACTTTTAATACAGTTTAAAGTTAGAGATTGGGGTATGTTTGATATCTATCATGTACATACAAAGTTCAAATACGTGTGATAACTAAGCCTTCTGTGGAATCTAAAAGCCCAGGAAAGGAATTTAACAGCAACTAATGGGCTAATGTTGAGCAGATCTCTGCAGAATTTCAGATCTAGCTCCTCAAATCAGGCTGGGGAGCATTCAGTTGCTAAGAGGGACCCTGGGAGAAGCAGATGTGGGACTTGTCTTTTCCAATATTTATTTATAATTTACTGTAACAATATTTTAGGGAAATTTGTTATGATAGGGTGATGCATTAAATTCAGTAACTGCAGAAATTCTCAGAAAATACCCACAAAATGTAGTTTATGTGATTGATGCCCCTGGTCAGTGCGGAATTCTCACTCAGTCACTCATACATCTATGTACTGACTACTATGATAGACAGGCACTGAACTGGATCAGGCTGTACAAACAAGTCACATACTCTATGCTCAATGGATTCCTAATCACGCAAACACACAATCACACTGGAGTGTGACATATCACAGATGAGTGTGTAGAGTACTGTTGCGGGTGCAGAATAAAAGAAGAAATGGTTAATTTTTCCCAAGGAGGAGGATCATGAAAAGCTTCACGTATGTAGGGTTTAATATAATAGATGACGCTTGTGAACAGGGTTCTGAAGCATGATTCTGAGTTTGCCATGTGGACAAGTACTCTCTTCCTGCTGATACCCTACAGAAGCATTTGATTAATCAGAACCCTCCACCCCCCAATGTTATCAATTCTTTGTCATCTGGAGCTTCACTTCTACAAAGTTAACATTTTCATGTGAAACAAGGAACTTTTCACACGTGAGCTGTTAAACTCAGCTTTTTAGGTTTGCTTCTGGGGAATTCTTGTCTGTAACTAGGAATGCTTTTAAAGCCAGAATAATCACAGATTCGTACAGAATATGGTCTAGTCCCCTCGCAGGCAGGAAAAAGTTCAATGTCTTCTCAATATTTATCAATTGTTGTTTATAAATCTGCATCTGCAACAGCTGGCCTGTTACATAAAGGATAGTGTAAGACAACAAAAACCTGACTTGATATGGATATCCAATATTATTTAGTTTAAGGAGGGAGGGAAATCAAACTGATAAAATCTAAGGGAAGAAGTATTTTGATGGGTAACTCAATCTCAATTTTAGCATGAATGGCTCCTAAGTGAACTGCAAGATGAGAAATTTACCTTGCACGACTTCAAAGGCACAAAGTCTGAAAATGAAAACCAACCAACAGGTCTGAAGAACACACACAATCCTTTCGGAATGACAAGCTTCTTGAAGGGTTTTAACCACCCTCTCCAACTAACACTGGCTATCTTTGGCCTAGACCAAAGTAAATGCACAGAGGACAAACTATTTACTTTTCACAACCTGATTGCCAAGGTAAGAATAATTTAAACAAGCTTTTTTTTTCTCTCAATGTGGGAAAGACTACCTTTATTCTCAAAAGTTCTTGTTAATAACAGGTGTGCTAAAGAGTTCTGAAGTGCTCAGCTTCTCTCTTTCATACAGAGTAAACGAAATTTGGTTTCTAGATATCTCAGTATCTATATTCAGCAATGCACTTAGGGTTTGGCACAGATCTGGGGCTGTGACATGGGTATCCAACTGGGTTTGTTTGAAGGATCACGAAAAATTTTACAGTTTAGAGGGATTCACTAAGATCTATAAGACAAGAAAACAGACAAGTGCTACACAGTACTATAGGAGTTCAGGAGAAAGTAGGAGGAGAAGCTTGGAAAATTAAGTATAACTTCAATAGGTAAGAACAAGAGAAGTGTCTTTTCCACAAAAGAATCACCTGTGATCCTTGTAAAAATGCCAATTCCTGAGGTCCAGCCTCCGTCTCCTAAATCCAACTCTCGGGGTTAAGCTTGAAACCAGCATTTAATAAGCTCCTTTGGTGATTGTGAGGCTCATAAAGTTTGAAAGTCACTGAGACTGAGGTGGTGAATGTCCAGACAGATTTGGGAGATAGTTGGTCTTCATATGTAAAACCATCTCATTTTACATACAATCCTGAACATGTTCCTATGTTGAGAAATATACTTCTACTACACCATTTTAAATGGCTGATTAATATTTTATTACACAAATATGCTACCACTTATTCAACCAATTCTCTATTGTTAGGTGTCCAACAATAAGTAAACTTGTGTAAATTCCAGCATATCCACAAAAATTATGTACAGAATTTATAACACTAAAAATATTTTATAAAAGCCAGGCATGGCAGTAAACACCTGTAGCCCCAGCTACTTGGGGGCTGAGGCAGGAGGATTGCCTGAACCCAGGAATTCAAGGCTGCAGTGTGCCATGATCGCACCTGCAAATAGTCACTGCTCTCCAGTCTGGACAACATAATGAGACCCTACCTCTAAAATAAAAAATTATACTATGTGCCAGGCACTATGCTGAGCACTTTATGTTATTTGATCTTCACAATACCTCTGTGTGATGGATGATATCCATAATTTATAGTTGAGGAAACTGAGTTAAGTGGCAGAACCAGGGTTCAAACCCAGGTCTGCCTGACTCTAAAATTTGTGCTCTTCTAGTGACCTCAGGCTGCTTCGATCTCCCTGAAAGTACTACATAGGCCAAAGCCAACCTCATTCTGGGGAAAAAGTTCCAGGCAGTTCTTCCAGCGTCACGTTGCCATGGTTTGCACCTGCAAGATCCAGCCTGCTACCTGGCTGTGACTGATTGATCCAGGGCAGGACAACTGAATCGAAGGCTGCCCTCTAGGGACATTCCATTCTGGGTGTTGACATAACAACTTCATCAGACTATGCCTACGTTGAAAGTTTCAGTAGGACATACCCAGAGAGAACAGAGACCCTGGGTGGCCTGGTCACTGGGGCAGAGCTGCAGAGATGATGAAGCACTTTCCAGTTTCTCATGAAGCCTGTTGTATGTATGGTCTGATGCATAAAGTTCTGGTACCCACAGTAACGGATCAGCTGCTGGTTTCCCGGCCTGGCACATTTCTCTGCCTATCCTTACAAGGACGCTTTGACCTAAGTCAAATCTTGAGAGAGCTTGCACAATGCCCTGAGTTTCCGTGTCCTCACCCATGAGTGGGAATAACAGCCCGACCGGCATGGCTGTTTCACAAGTCTGCTCTGCAGTGGTTCGTAAACAGGGTGAGTTTCTTTTCCCTTCCCTAAGAATGATCCGCAGATATGAAGCAATTTCTCTTAAGCTACACGGAAGCTTATCATGTGTAGCACACAAAGCCCTACATCAAATAATGGATGAAGCCACAGAAGAGTTGAAAATTCCACATTGTTTGGGTCAGTTTAAACAGTCTCCAAAGTTCACACGCCCTCTGGATTTGAAGTAGAGGAAAATAGGTCCCTGGCTAAGTGGTTCATGACAAAAATAAAACAAAACAAATGGACAATAACAAACAAAATTGGGACAAAAAGCATGGATGAAGTTTCCAGATTGGCTGTGCTTACATTATATCATTCACAGCTCGAGGCATTTTAAATGTATTTGTTCATTTAACCCTGATAACCGTAAGCGGTAGGGATATTATCCTTTCATGAAAAAGGAAACTGTCTTCAGTAACCTAATGAGGCAGTGGTTGTCAAAGTGTGGGCCCAGGACCAAGAGCATCAGCATCACCTGGGAATTTGTCAGAAATGCACATTCTCGGGCCCACCCCCCAGGTGCACTGAATCAGACATGGGGGCAGGGGACGAGCAAGCTGTGTTTTTTTTTTTTTTTT